ATGATCTCATGTTTATGGATGATTTCATGATGTTTAGATGTAATCTAGAGTGTTGGAATCAACTAGGAATGAAGGGTACATCACTTAGGAACTAGTACGAAAAGATAGGGAAAGAACGGGGTCTCCAGGGGTTATTGGCGCTGTGAGAGGTGTGGAGAGCCAGGGCCTATTGGACAGACCCTAGTCGGGGGCTCTATGGCTGGCGCGCCGCGCCAGGGCCTGTCAGACAGAGGCTTCCTTGAGGCTCTCTGTCAGGTGCGGCGTCCCAAGGGGTGTTTGACGGGATCTCCGACTTTTATTCTTCGTTTTTCATATGTAAACCTCCCAAACTCCCATGAATCCTTCACCAAACACTTAGGATCCCTAATTAACTCATTACCCAATAGTTTAGACCCGAAAATAGTACAGAAATATGAATCAAAACTACAAGAGATTCTACAATTCAATCAACAAGAATTTCACAACTTTTCATCAAGAGCTTCAAGATTTTCATTCAAATAAGTCTAAATTGTTGTATTGAATTAAGTTGTAGGGTGAGTGAAAGGAACCAACACCGAATAATCTCACATACCTTGATAGAGATCACCCCCGACGAAATCCATGCAAGGATCTTGGCGTTCATGGATGATTCTTGGTCTTCATCTTCTTTTCTCATTTTCTCCCAAACCCTAATAGTTCTTAAATATTGAAAAACTTATTTGGGACTTGTTTTCACCACTAATATAACCTTAAAAAAATTAGGAAATACTAGGGTGAAAAGACAATTTTGCCTTCACTAAAATTCGGACTGGACTTTCCTCAGTCCAATAACCCAACTTCTGAAAGACATTTCTCCCTCATACGACATCGGAGTTCTTCAAACTCGGAAGCGTTGGAAAGATATTTTCAAGGTATTCCAACCATATAAAGAACACACCCAAACTTCTTTTGAGATGGATGTTATGGCCTTTTGAAAATGACCAAAACTCGCTAGACATTTCTAGATTTTCTTACTTATTTTCTAAATTAATTATTCTTGGCTTCTTAGATTATTCTTAGTTAATTCTAGTTACGAGATGTTAGATGTCTGTCCAACTATTATATAAGAAAAAGTTGGGTAACTATGTATCTTTCTTGTGATACTCTCTCATAATCTATTTTTATAGCACCATGCCACATTTTCGGTGATTTCTTTCCCATATCTGATTTCGTGTAGCACTATACCATATTTTCAGTTATTTTAAGAGAATTATGGTAGGTCGAGATTGTAACTGATGGTGATTAGAATCCCCTCAAACTAATGGTGGTCAACAAACAGTAACACACTGTTTGAATGGTTGTAGCCTGTTGTATTGTTTTGTGTTATTAGTTTAAATATAATATTACGTAATTAACTTTATATGGAATATGATTGTGAAACTTGAGTGTCAACTATGAAGTCACTATAAAGAGTCTGAAGTATGAAGTGTAAACTCTAAAGGCTAAGAGTGCATCACACTCAACTGTAAACTTTTGAGTAAAGTTGGGAAGACGAAGCACCGGTACTGATGTCAAGATCCTCTTTAAATTTTGGAAAATCTCTTCCCCTTTTGCATGCCAGGAAAAAGCATCTTTCTTGGTCAATTTTAGAAAAATTTGTGGCTCCATGTAATTCATCTAATAACTCATCTATATTGGGAATGAGTATGTGTCTGGGACTGTGATTTTGGTTAGGCTACAGTAACACATACAAATCTACCAAGAGTTATCTTTCTTTTACACTAGCAGAACTGGCTAGCAAAGGGACTTGAACTAGGACGTATGAAATCAAATTTTAATAAAGCTGCAACTTGGTTCTCAATTTCAGTATTTTGACCATGTGGGCAATGGTAAGGTCATGTGGGTAATGGTAAGGTCTGATGTTTGGAGGTTAGCATTTGGTAGTAGAGGAATATCATGAGAATGTGCTCTAAATGGTGAAAGAGATGTTGGTTCAGAAACCACAACTGAAATTAATCTAGAAGTGTTTGGATTGGATTAAGTGGACCTTCTGATAGCATGTTAAAGATTGGAGAGAAGTTGTGGCTGAATCTGTTGATCTCAAGCATTGCAATTTGTAATGTTTCCCTTTCCAATAACAAATTATGAACATATCCTTCTAGTTATCTTGAATTGTCCCGTGAGTAGCCAAAAATTTGATATCAAAAACCAAATCATCCCCTCTAATTAAAAAAAGGGTAGTAATCTTGAATTGAATTTGAAGATTTCGGGCAAACTTTTTTGCAGCATATGATGCACCCATTCCCTATTTGCAACTGAATGTTATAATTATTTCTACTGGTAAATTATACTCTTTCACATTTCACAATGGATTCAACAACAAAATTACGCGTGGGACCACTATCTTTTAGTATTGAAACCTTTCTATGGTTGATCTCACCCTGAAGCTTCATTGCAGCATCAATTGACTGTCCCAAAATGGCATTGAAAGAAATTTCAGCAATGTGTGTGTCTTGAGGGTTATCACCAACTACTACATTGACCTCATCAACCTCTTCCAATTGATCTTCTCTAGTAATCTCCATGAGAGATAGTTTTGCAGATTTGCATCTGACTAGGTGCAAATTTCTCATGGAAACGATAACAAAGTCCTTGTGCCATAAGATTTCTCCTCAGTTCCCATGTCGGCATTTAAAGAGGTTGGGAAACGACTGGGTTGGAAGAAACATTGCTGCGTGGATTGTGATGTGTAGAGGAAGAAATGTTTTTGGTGTTTCTATAGAATTCAATGGTTGTACAATGGGCTTGTTGATTGAGGTCCAGTTAGGCACTCTATTGCTTCGAGTTGGCCCTAATTTATTTTCAAATTCAAGTGCCAAACTCATAGTCCCGTAAACTGTCTAGGTTTGTAATCCTAACATTGGATTTAAGTTCCTCTTTCAATCCATTTAAGGACACTCCTAAGAGACAGTGATCCAGCCAGTTTATGACCCTAGACGAATGTTTTGCAATTGTTGACGATATCCCAGTATAAAACCCGTTTGTTGAATGTTACAAAGGTGCTTGTCGGGATTTTTAAACTCTGCAGGACCATAATTTTCTTGCAATGATTTTTTAACAAGTTCTTCCCAATAAAGTAAAGTTAGCTCATGATTTATCCAAGAAAAGAGATATAAAGAAGCATCCCCTTCCAAATACATCACTGCAATGTCAACTCAATGTTCCTCTTGAGTTTATTAATAGCAGAAATAATTTTCTGCTTTCAAAATCTATCCTCATCGGTGTATGGCCTCGGGGAAGTATATTTTTCCAAGTTGGACTATCAATGTCTTCTTCCTTTTCTTGCCAAGCAGATTTTCCTCTATTATGGTTTCGGTGGCTGGATTCTTCTTGTTGAGGGCAACTAGTCTGGGCTTTTAATGTTGCAACATTTGCTGCCAGGAAGTCAGTCGTATTTAGTTTAGATGTTGTGGAAAATAATTGTTAGACAAGAGATTCAGCATTTGAACGCCTTCTTGTGAATTAGACAATCTGGTATTGACCATGTTGGATCGATCTGCTATGATACAAACTGATAGTAACCTGAAGCAGAGAACCGAAGAAATAGAAAAAATAAAGTAAATTTATTGGCAATAGTTTGTGCAAGAATCTTAAAAACAATTATACTAATAAAGTTGTCTGTATGGATAGGAAAAGACTCTAGAATATAGTAGTTTTAATTCTTAATCACATACCCCAAATAACTAATCCTATTACATATATATAGAGAACATAATAGGATAAGATTGACACCATAAATTACAAACTAGGAATAATATAACTGCTAGACCAACTGCTGGAGCAAATCATGGGAACAGGTTTATCCGCTGTAGCAGTTGTGTTTGTCCAGAACGCTTAAACTTTTTATTTTTTTGTCAAAACTTTCTTCTGGAGTACCTCTTGATAGGTGGGTCAGTATCAAAATCCTACTTCTATTGCGAGATATGATTTTAGAAAAAACAATGAGTTTAAGAATTGGCACTGTGCAGTGCATAGTAAGTAGAGTTTGCATATGTATTAGCCGGATTTGTTTGGTATTCATTTCGTTTCTCTCTCTAATAATTTTCGATATACTTGCTCATGATAAAGAGCCCTTTTGAATGTTTCTTCCACTTGCCCTAGATCTCCTCCAGTAATAGAAGCAATGCAGATATTTGAAAGAGATGTAGTTACTGAAACTGATATGTAGAGCTTTCAAATTTTAATGCATAACTGCATGATCTGTAGTATTTTATTCTTTTCCCTCAACTTGAGGATTATACTTTGGTCATACCAGCAAAACATTTACTAATTTTGTGGTGCTGATTCAAAAGTCTGAAAGCTTTTGGTATTTCCATTTTTTTTATTTTGGGAAATTCTGAGTGATTGTTGATTTGTTGTCGAAAGATATATTTCTTCTGTTTGTGAAAATAGGTAGCACCAAATGTTTACCTTTCAAAGTAACAAAAGATAATATCAATTATTTTCCTATGACATCTTTTACTTCCTGTTTGAGAAAATTGAAATGGGTACCTGACATTGTTCGTATTCTTGTTGGATATGGGCACTTAGTTAATGTTGTAGAGAAGATGCTTATTAACACCAAAAATACTTTGAATTTGAAAAAGGCATGTAACCTTTGGTTCATAAATTTGAAAGCGAGGTTAAAAGCTTGATGTAACAACTTGGTGGGGTCTTAGAAAGCAGTGTGTGGAGTTAGTATCAAAATTAATTTAGGTTGCTCTTTCATAAAACATTAACGTGGTTGGTAGTATTGAAAAAGTTCATTTTGAGAACGTGAATTCAATGAATTTTGTATAATAGCAAAGGTAGTACAACATGGACATGATGTGCACGCACGTCATGAGCTCAAATTCTGTTGTGACCAGATTTTGTATTTAAGTAAAGAAGGGTGGAAGGTGGCCTATTATCCATTGAGTTTCTGTGACAGCAACAACAGATTTTCGGTCATAAAAAACGGGTTTCAAAGTTATGACTTTAATTCATGCTGTCCACTTTGCAAAATGACAGAATATGACCAAGAGAAACTGTTGCTATCCCGAAGTTAGAAGTCCTTTCAGAGATTAAGAAATGTGTAAAACCTGTATGTATTACAACATATAGATGTTCCAAGGTCCTTGGTATCTTCTTTTGATAAGTAGATCTTTGGGTGTTAAAAGCTGGCAACAAATTTTTTTGAGACTTGGAGAATTCCTTTGGTCTAGAAAATGCCTTCCTCATATCTATATTGTGTACTTAAAGTGTTGCTAACTTTACATGATTAGTACAATGCCAAAAGTGTATTTCTGTATTGTTCTTTGTTGCACCTTTTTATAAATCTTGTTTAGAGATATTATTAATTGAAGAATCATTAGCAAGAATTGTATAATAAGGTGATAAATTGAATATTATCTTGCAATATGTAAAACCTTATCGCTTTTCTTGATGATTGAGCAGAATTCAACACTTTGATATGTTCATTGGACTACAAGAACTACAAGGCCGAAATAAAGAGTGCAGATGCACAAGATTCCTTCAAGGATGGGGTGGTTAATTTGGTGACTGGCTGCTTAACCGGAAAGGATAAGTTAAAAAGGAAATTCGCCCAGACATTTTTCCTTGCTCCGCAGGACAAGGGTTATTTTGTGTTGAATGATGTTTTTAGGTATGTCGAAGATAATGAGATTGATACCGTTTCAGAAGTGCTTAATGGAACTGAGGATGTGCAGTCAGAGGTTTTGACCCTTGATCCAGGTTGGATCTTTTTTCTAATTTAATAAATGTACTTGTTCTTTTATCCTCTTAAAATATTTTACTATTTTCATTTTGAATACAGAACCTACTCATGTGGTTGATCCTCTAAATCTCGACCAAGCTCGCTCACATGCAGAAGAAGTTCAACATGTTGAGGAAAAAGCCAATGACTCTTTGGTAGATAGGAGGCAAATTGCTAATGAAAGAGTGATTGTTGTGGAAATTGGATCATATTTCAACGAGGACCAGCACCTTACAAATACAGAATCAGCTAATTCTGTTGCCCAAGAGGATGCTCCAAAGAAGTCGTACGCATCAATTGTCAGTTCACAAACAAAGAAAGGGCCAACCAAAATCCCACCAATACTTCCAGAGTGGCTCCTCTGAAGGATGTAAAGCAGCTGGTTGCTGCAGTAGCACAAAACGCAGCTCCTGGAGCATCAAATCCTACTACCACTAGTGAAATCGATGTACCAGAATCAAATGATGTTGAAGAGGAAGGTATAATCTCTTGAAACCTATCTGAAATAAATTAAGTAATTTGATCATGTGATGGACATATCTATGTCAGAAAAAATTGAATATGGATGTCCGTATTTAATTTTTTTAGCAAATAAAGGAGCACAATAAGTAGATGTGTTTTGAGTTTGATCTAGATGTTGTATTATCAGATCTGCTTGCAATTGTCATGTTCATTCTGCTTCTGACTTTCTCATTGCTTAAAGTCTCATTAAGAGTACATTGTCATGTAATTTACTTAAATTTTAATTCTTATAGCTGAGGGATACTCTATTTATGTCCGAAATTTGCCTCTAGATGTTACTGTAGCCCAACTTGAAGCTGAATTTAAGACATATAGGCCTATTAAGCAAGGAGGTGTACAAGTTAGAAGTAACAGGGTTAGTGCAGCACACCTTATATTCATCTTGGTTCACTGACCTACAGATTGTTAATATGTGTCCACTTATTCCCTTTTCTGCAGCAACAAAGATTCATCTTTGGCTTTGTTGAATTTGAAGATATGAGCTCCATGAACCTGTATGGCACTGTTGATGGAGCTCACATCTTCAAATTCAACAAAGCCAAATCAGAATCCTTGTTGCTGCAACAAAGAAAATAAGTGGACACATGATAACAATCTATAGGTGTTAGTGAACCAAGATGAATATAATGTATGCTGAACCAACCCTATTACTTCTAACTTGTACACCACCTTTCTTAATAGGACTATATATCTTAAATTCAGCTTCGAGTTAGGATATAGTAACATCTAGAGGCAAATTGCAGACATAAATGGAGTATCACTCAGCTCCAAGAATTAAAATCGAAGTAAATCAGATGACAATGTACTCATACTAGGACGGTAAACAATGAGTGAGTCTAAAGTAGAGTAAGCATGACAATGCTAGTAGATCAAATAACCCAACATCTAGATCAAACCACATCTACTTATTCATTTGCTCAAAAACTAAATACTAACATGCCTATTCCATTTTTTGTCACATATAGATGTGTCCATCAAAAGATGGAAGTAATGAGTAAATTTCAGGCAACTTTCAAAGAAATTGTTACATTCATGTTCAATATCATTAGTTTCAGGTACATTAACACCTCTGGGGGCAGTAACATTTGATGCTTCAAGAGCTACAGTTTGTGCTACTGCAGCAACCGGGTGTTTTACAGCCTTCGGAAGAGACATTCTGGAAGTATTTGTGGGTACCAAAATTTGGATGGCCCTTTCTTTTTCGTGAAGTGACGATTGATGCATACGACTTCATTGGAGAATCCTCTTGGGCAACAAAATTAGCGGATTCTGTATTTGCTGGGTTCTGATCCTTGTTGAAATGAGATTCAATTTCCACAACAATCTATCTTTCATCACCAACACGTCTCCCATCTACCAAAGATTTGTTGCCCATTTCCTCAACATGTTGAACTTCTTCCGCATGCGAGCCAACTTGGCTGAGATTTGGAGGATCAACGACATGAGTAGGTTTTGGATTCAACATGAAGATAGTAAATGATTTTAAGAGAAAACAAGAACAACTACACTTATTGATTTAGAAAAGAGAAGCAACTTGGGGGGGGGGTCGGAAGCTCTAACTACACATCCTCAATTGGATTAATCATTTGTGAGACGATATCAATCTCATTTTCTTCTACATACCTAAAAACACCATTCAAAAAAAAATAACCGTTGTCTTATGGAGCAAGGAAAAATGTCAAGGCGAATTTCCTTTTTAACTTATATCTCCGTGATAAACTTCTCTTTAGAAAAATAATCAACTCATCCTTAAAGGAATCCTATGCATCTAAAGTCATTATTACGACCTTATAGTTCTTGTAGTCCAATGGACAATGTCAAAGTATTGATATTCTCCGCTCAAACATCAAGAAAAACAATAAGGATTAAATTACATTATTTTCCTGTTCTTTTTTAAATTACAAAACTCTCTTAAAATTTATGGATTTTGGATACATTACTAGACTTCCTGATACATGATTCGACTTTCGGATACATAGGTGAGGGATTTATCTGTGATGTGAGGAATGTATCAAAGAGGGGACATGACATCTGGATGCATCACTTGACTTACAGATACAACAGCAGACATCCGGATACATAGGTGAGGATGTATCAGGGGATTTATGTATTTGAGAGGAGATATAATGTATCATCGAGAGGAGAGTGATGTATTCGAGAAGAGATTTTTGAAATATTTTTAAATGATAGAGAATTTTAGAGATTATGGTAAAATAAGATGTGTATTCAGAATTTTGAAATGATGGGTGCACTATTACGAAAAGGTAAATCTAAGATTCAAATTTCTAACTTCTCTTAGAGAGGTGCACCCAATCATAATGGCACAATATTATACAATACTTCATATGTGGGTTCACACATATAAATTTAAATACTTTTTAAAAAAAAATTATAATACTATTATATATGATTTCAGGAGTAGAGCATGGGTTCACGTGAACCCAATGACCCCCTCCTGAATACACCACTGTGTGTATTTAGGTTATTTTCCTTTTCAGTATTGCAAGATAGTATTCAATTGAATTTATCACCTTATTATGCAATTCTTGCTAATGCTTCTTCAATTAATATATCTCTAAACAAGATTTAAAATAAGGTGCAACAGTTCTAACTCCGGGTATAACAACAGTTCCTCTCGGTCATATTCTATAATATTATAGAGTGGACAACATGAATTGAAGTCAAAACTTCAAAACGTGTTTTTATGATCGATAAATCAGTTATTTTTTTCTCCCAAGCTCAATGGATAATGAGTCACGTTTTATCATTCTTTACTTAAATACTAAACCCGGTTCACAAGAGAGTTCGAACTCATGACGTGCGTGCACCTCATGTCGGTGTTGTACTACCTTTGCTATTATACCAAAGGCATTGAGGCCATAGTTCTCAAAACAAACTTTCCAATACTACCAACCACAAATATTTTATCTAAAAGCATAACTTAAAAGTTGTTACATCAAGCTTTCAACCTCACTTTCAAGTTCAAATCGAATGTATTTTTTGGTGTTAGTAAGAACTACTCTTCTACAACACTCAACTAAGTGCCCGTTACCAACAAGTATATCTATGTTACCTACATATGCTATAGCCCAAAGGAACATAATTGGTATTATCTTCTTTTATTTTGATGGGTAAACAAGATTAAACTTACAAGAACAATTAATGAAGTTTACAACTTTTATGAACCAATAATTTTTTTGTAAATCAATGTCTTATGTTATCACATTATACCACCCTTTTTATCTTTGTCGTTATTGTGTTTTTGCGCTGAAAGCTCATGCGCTTGTCATTATTAATCTCACAACAATTCTTTTATCACATTACGTCTTAAACACATGTGTCTAATGTTAGCACAAAAAATGTTAGTTTTATTCCATTTAGAATACATATTAAAAGTTGTCATAACCACTTAGTCTGATCACTAATCAACTCCCGTACAACAACTACTTTAATTTGTTGTCTTTTATGTTATGGCACCATCATCAATAATAACTCATCATTACTAGCGAATTCTGAGATTCACATTGCATCATAGTACGCTTCTAGAGTTCTAGTACAACAAAATATTTAATTTATTTGATACTCTATTTGTGGATCCTCTCATGCATCACAAATTATTTCTTTCCAAATAATGCATCAAGAAGCAATATATCAACAAGAACATGAGATATATAATAAATTATAAGAAATTGATAATATATTTTCCTACTCTAACGTTACATTCAATTATATCACAATTGATCAACTATCACAAATATGTATATGCAATATTTATTAACTAACTAAAAAAACTTAGATTCTATTTTTTCTTTTCTTACGAATATGTAGCACAACCTCAACAAAATACATCTACACTTTCAAATAATTTCATAATAGAGAGATAAATTTTTCATTAAGTTTTCAATTTGATATGTAAATACAAATTTATAAATTAAAATGTCAATATATTTATCTCTTTGTTTTCAACAAAAAACCTTTTGTATATGTAGAGAAGAATATTCACAAGTGTGACACAATAATAATTTTCACATCTAGTATTAAGTTTCAAGAAGTTCAAAAGAATTAAGTCTAAATTTGGATGCTCAAAAAACACAAACATGTAATTTCTTAGTATGATCAATTTCTAACACAAATTTATGCATCTAAAGCAACCCATATATGATAGCTTAGCCACTCAATAAAATTGTTACAAGTTAATGGTCTCTAAAGCACTCTATCAAACATAAGCATTTAACAAAACATTTTTTCACCAGACTAATATCATCTATCTCAGTTACTTTAAATATTGTAAAATATGTTTTCTTTTAAATTTTATCTAGTCGATTATTTGTAATTTTGTTCCTCTCTTATAAGATTTTAAAATATTAATGTGTTTATTAGGGTTCGGAGTTCAACCTTTTAAAAGTATTTTTATGTTATTACTCGACTAAAAAATTTCATTTCTTGCTAAATATAAGTTGTTTTCTTTATATGTTAAGATTTGCTATCAATTGCTGGCTTTAAGGTTTTCTAAGTTTATTTTTCGAGTTATAATTTTTATTTCCTGCTATATCTAACAATTGTTTTAATATATATATTATCCCTCTTTGATTATGTGTATTTATGTTCTTCTCGTAAGATTACAGTATTTATGTGTTGATTATAATATGGGGGTTAGAATTTTAAAGGGTTTCTAAGTTATTTTTTGACTTAAAATTTTCATTTGTTGATAAATCATTTTAATCATTTTGTTAAATTTTATCTAACTCAAATAAAAAGTTTAACTTTTCATCATATTTTCATAAGGATCATTGACTCGAATATTAAATCATATATACCATCTTAGATAATATCAATATTTTCCATTTGTGAATTTAATAAAAAGAACTTTCCGTTCCAAGAACGTAACTAGTTCTAGAATTCCTAATATATATAAAAATCATTCTTCTTCTTCAACTTGGGTGTAGTGCACAAATATACTTGGTACCATCCAAATCTAATACCCAATATTTTATATATTAGCTATAAGATTCACTTGAAAAATGACTACATAAATATATCTGTTTAGTCAAATTTAATTTTCCTTAGGAGAATTATCATTTCTTCAAATCTTCTTCTACCTTAAAGAATATATAAGCTCAATTTACCACACACATATAAATTTTGTAACGACCCGCTAGGTCGTTTTGAAAATTAGGACTAGTTTGACACCATTGAAAAATTTAAAGGGGTATTTTTAAACTATTAGATAACTATGAGTACCCAATTGATGAAACTTTTATTAAATAAGTAATATAGATAATAGGTTAGTGGTGTTTCACGGTTAATAAACTCTTGTTTAGAAAAAAAATGGATGCGAAACC